ATGACAAAGGCTGCTCTTGTGAAGGGGACAAAACTCCAGAGCAGGTCTGATTCCCATCCTGCTACCACTTTGCCAGGTTGCAGGCCCAGAAACTGTGCCAGCAGATAACCCTGTGATGAGTGACATGTGTAGGACTGCACCATCTAATACAGTCCCCACTTAAAGCACACTTAAAGCCAGCCACTTAAAGTACAGCTTCTTCAAATAGAGAATGTCCAGAAGTGTGAAACACACCGGATTCCAAAGGTTAGTACAGAAAATAATGTAAAATATCTCAGTAACAGTTTGTATTGATGACACATAAAAATGGGTATGTTTAAGTTATAGTTTGTTAAAATAAAATATATTTTTATTCTCATTGAACCCAGGGCCTTTGTTAACTGAACAATTGCTCTAAACTTCTACACCCCCAACTCTAAACTTCATTATTAAAATTACTTGTTTGACATGTGCTTAGCATGCTTGAATGACTAGGTTCAGTCTCCTGCACTAAAGCACTATTTCCCTTTACATTTTCATATAGTTATATGAAAATTTGAAGCTACAGATGTGGCTCACATTGTCTCATTTCAATTTTACAGAGGAGGAAACAGGCTTCAGAGAGGTTATGACAAGATCTACAATGTCTGCCCTAGGGTTTGTGCCCCAAAGAGATAAATGCCTTCCCTACGCCCTGCTGTGGCTAGGAAACAAATGCCAGAATGTTTTATGTGCAGAATCACCCTGCTCCCCTTCTCCCTGACTTGCAACAGTCAGTAGTACATTCTGTGTCTGAGGGCAGCCTCAGAGTTGGTGCTGAGACCCATGGGTGTCACAAGTTCCCCAAGATGTCCCGGTTTGGCTGATACTGTTATCTGATCTTCCTCTCTGTCTCCAGCCAACTCCAGCAACAACCGAAGGGCCTCTGCTATTTTATCCCCTACCTATCAACTCCAGCTGTGGTCCCCCTTTCAGACAACAACTCTTGTCAGGTTCCTCGTAATCTCACCTGACAGGAGCATCCTAGAGGGTGGGTGTCCACAGCTAGCTCAATCCATCGGGGATATTCCCAGTTTTCTGCAGAAGCAGCTGTAGTAGCAACCATGACATTGGAAATTGGAAGAAACAAGAGCTCCAGGAGATATTAGCTTCATGGCCATATACCTGTTTTGGGGTTCCAGACTTGGTTCCTCTATGAGGTATTTGGGGGGGGGGGCATGGCCCTAGCCAGGACACAGATTCAATAATGCCTGTGCACTACATGGGTCTATGTCTCGGAGGCCCACCCTGACTATCCAGGGAAGGCTTCTCTGAGTCTTGTGAGCAAACAGAACCTATCTTGTCTTGTATCCTTGAAATGCACCAAGGATCTTGTTCTGAATGAAGAGTCAGACCCAGTAATAGGCCCCTGGAGGCCAGATTTGCTGGAGACATTTGGGATCCAGCTGGGCCATCCCATTTGAATATAAAAGGGTCAGATTTTAGGCTGTGATTATAATATAAAGAGGTCACATTGGGTTTTAAAATAGTTTTAAATTTGAAAAATTAATTAAGAGAAAGGACTTGTGGAGTGAGCTTTCTTGGCAGCTTTGGGATAATTATAAAACCAGCTCCAATTTTCCAAGTCCTTCACAGTGCCAAACCTGAGGTGCCACAATCCCCAGAAGGCTGGACAAGTGTCAGGCATACCCATCAGAATTCGGCTATTCTGCCACCTCCAGGAGGCCCCATCATGCCCCTTCCATCCAGATGCCCTGGTGTATAGCAAGAGAGTGGTCAGACAGATCCATCTCAACCCCTGCGCTGCCACTTGTCTTCATAACCTCACCTGTAACATGAGGGTAATGGCAATTCTCAGACAGTAGGGAGGGGGATGGACCTCTGCCCTAGGCCCTTTGTTGCTCTTACCGTTCACATTGTTAGCTTTACTTCCCCTTTGCCAAAGCCACCTGGCCCTAACAGGGGGAAACTTGCCTCCAGATGTCTCCCCTACCCTTTGGTCTTGAAACCCAGAGAAAGAAAGCAGCCTGAAGTCAAGGACCCAACTGTGTCTGGCCCTGTGTCAGGCAGCTGCTGCTGAGGGCCCTCCCCTTCCTGTCCTCCCACACTGGAGGCCAATGTGCCCTGAGCTTGGGAACAGGATGTGCAACAGAGTAAGCGTCGCTCTTCTTTTCCTTGTTTTCCTCTTTGTCCCTCTCTCCTTCCTTTTCTTCTTCCTCTCTCTTTCTCTCTGTCTTTTTTATAGAATTGGGATTGAACCTAGGGCCTCATGCATATTAGGTCAGTGCTATATCTAAGCTACACCTCCAGCCCTCTTTTTACTTTCATTTTTTATTTATTCTCTGGAAATTTCATACATGTATACAATGTATTTTGATCTTATCCACTTTCCCTGGGACCCTGGGATCCCTCCAACTCTCCCTGGGACCCACCAACCCATCTTACTCCCAACATCATGTCATTATTATTAAGAGCTACCAAATCCCATTAATGTTGACCGTATGAGGCTGGATGTGGAGCCAGCCATACACCGGGTCATAAGCAACCTATCAGTAACCACCCCACCCCCACACAAAAGTGGCTTTCCCTCTCTCACCAGCCAACAACTATTTATAGCTCTTCAGAGAGGGATAGTACCTGGGGCCCCTCTCTCTTTTGCTTTCTAGCTGCCTTTGAGTCTGTGGCTCAGGCAGATCTTGAACTTACTATCCTGCTTTAGCCTCTAAAGTTGCTGAGGCTTCATGCCTATATCATCAAGCCTGGCCTTCTTCTCCTTCTCCTTCTCCTTCTCCTTCTCCTTCTCCTTCTCCTTCTCCTTCTCCTTCTCCTCCTCCTCCTCCTGCTCTTCCTCCTTCTCCTCCTCCTTCTTTGTTTGTTTTTCAACACAGGGTTTCTCTGTATTGCTTTGGATCCTATCCTGGAACTCACTCTGTAGAACAGCCTGGCCTCAAACTCACAGAGATCTGCCTGCTTCTGCCTCCTGAGTGCTGGGATTAAAGGCATGTGCCACCAAACCCTTGCTGCAAGCTCCCTTTTAACCTTCCATAGAACTCCAAGGCTCAGTGGTTCTAATACAATGAAAATGACAAAAGCTAGGGATATTGTGAACAGGTGACCTGCCAGCCATGCTTTCAGCCCGTATTTTTCTCCCCAAGGTGCTCCTCAGTGGTCCCTCCCCACCTGTGACCAAACTTGCACTTTTGCTGCACTGGTTGCTACCCCATGTCCCCAGCCCTTTATTCCTGGATCCCTTCACTGTGTGCTGTCTGCCCAGCTGCATCACTAGGGTCACAATGCTCACTGAGATTCTAAACCCCAAGGTGAGCAGCCTCGGGAAGTATTTCTGGTGTAAATTGAAGGGGACACACACTCATTTTCAGGTTTTGGAAAATACAAAGTTTAGATCTAGATTTTTGTGCCACCTTAACATTTCCTTCTGGGGCTGGCAAATATGGGCATCTAACACAATCAATTCCTTTTAGGATTCTGTCCCACCCTCTCCCTGGGGACATTCTTTGTCTCTTCTTTTTCACCTGTCCTCTGCTGCTCTCTGTCTCCTTGCCACTGACTGCCACTTCCTGCCCTTACTGTGTGAGAATCTCTCTCCCATTTGCACACCTGGCCCTGCTGATGGCTCCTCAATAGTCTGGGCCCTCCCCCACCCTCCAAACCCTTGCCCTGTGGATCAGCTCTACAGTCATGTTAGGCTCTCACCTGGGAACTTCACACCTGCCCTGCCCTGTCCTTTACCTCAAATGTGCTGATCCTCCTTTTTGCCATGGAACACTGGCTAGAATTACAACTCTACTTCCTTCTGCTCCCACAACTACTGCCTAGTGCCAGTCCCTCCTTGACTCACTATTATCCGCCTCTCACAGCCCAGAACAGTCCTGGACAGAGCATAGGTAGAGCATAGGTATTCGGGTGGCATTTGTTCCATGAATAAATGAATTTATTCGTTAGTACATGAATGGATTGCTATGTAGGTGGCTTTGGTGGTTGGGTAGGAACAGAGGGAGACAGTATGTAAGCTATAGCTGGGGCCTGCCGTGACAGCAGGTGGCTGGAGGAGGCCACATCACCTCCAGCATCTGGGTGCTATTTTAACGGCCTGGCAGTGAGGTGCATGTATGGCAGAGGCCTGCAAAAGAGGTAATGCAGAGTGGGCAGCTCTGCCCACCTCTAATTATTGCTTGAGTCTTTATGGCAGAGACAGCTGCCTACCCCAAGGAGCTGTGTCTTGGCCATCACAGTGTGAGCTCCAGCTGGGGCTGCTGACATAGCCAGCAGGGAAGACAAGAGGAAGTTTTCAGGGGCCTTTGGGTCTTGGGGAGCAAAGGAAGCCCAGGCTTGGACCCTGCTCAGTTCCTGTTCTTCTAGCCCCCAGGGCAGCAGAAGGGTACCCCCAACTCAAGAGTCCCATCAAGAACCCTCCAATGTAGCTAAGGGGCGAGCCAGCTGAAGGAGGGCCCACAGCACCCTCAGGGAGAGAGCCGCAGATGGTTTGGTGTCCGCTGACATGGAAGCCCTTGGGAAGATGGTGCCCCAGTGGCTGGCTGGGTGGGTGGGTAGGTCAGGCCTGGAAGGATGCTTTGACCACCCGGCCCTTCAGTGGCTGTGGTGGCCGGAAGTTGTTCACCATGTGGATCCTCTCATCATCTTCTGAGGTGAAAAGCAAGCTTGAAATTTCTCCATCTTAAGGTAAAAAGATGGTCAGGGCAGGGATGGGTGCTCTTTTCCTCTATAATCCCAGATACTGCCTAGGGAGCTCTACCCTTCTGCTTCTCCTGCTTGGCTTCACTCTCCCTACCCTTAGTTATCTGTTTCCTAATGGGCCCTTGAACATGGAATCTGAAGGTTAATTCCAATCTTGTCTAACTGAGACATTTGGACATTAGCAACTTTATGACTGCAACACACTAAGAGTAATCCCAGCGTCAGGCCTCTTCCCATCTTCCAGGCTTAGGTCCCCAGGACTAGCAACCAAACGTACAGCAATGAAAGATCTTTTGGTTTAGCAGTCAATGATGGGAATCAAATGGGAAGGGGCTAGTTGGGGGGTTACCCTGCCATGGTAGAAATCTGAATGCTCCTATTCCTGGAACTCTGGGAGGACTCACCTGCTTCTCAGAGATTCTGATGGGCTCCCGGAGCACAATCCAAGTAACACTCTCACTGAGCGGTGGTGTGGTCAGGGAGCCGGGATAGGTCCAGTAGTGCAGGCTGGTGGGCAGGAGGCACTTGGGGTTGAAATAGTTGAACTGGGCCTTGGTATCCTGGGCAGGATGGGAACCCAGGAATTAGCATAGAGCTCCTACCAAGATCAGCCCAGCAGCTTCCTTGCTTATTGCCATCAGGTCAATAGGATTTGGGCCTCTTCTTGACATGATGATGCAAATTGTGGGCAAACATCTGTGACCCCAGGTGCCACCTCCCAGGCAGAGCCAGGCCCTCTCGTTTGCTTACATGTAAAAGCTGTGGCTTTAGGGACTCTCTGGTCATCATGTTCATACTCTTGCCTTTGGATGCCCTCGCTGGGGCTATGTAGCAGACCACCATCCATACGATCAGTACTTTATACATACCCTACCAAGTAGTATGCTAGGCACCCATAGTGATGAAGAAGACCCTGATCCTGGGTCTCAGCCAGAGGTGCTGTCAGAAGGCAAAAGTCAATGGGCCACTCTATGCGCCAGTCTCATCCATCCTCTCTCCCCAGCTGGCCACTCTAGAAAGGAACAGCAACCTCTGGTCTCACCTTAAACCGAACCATATAGAGTGCATCTGTCAGGCGGTTCATGCTGGGGTGCTCATCTCCTGTCTGTTAGGGAGAAAACAGTATGAGCCTCCAATCCCTTCATTCTAAAATAAGGGCATATGAGCCTTCCATATTCTTCCCTGCCCCAGGGATCCACCACCTACCTCTAGGAAGACACCAACCACAGCCAGGCCATCAGGGGCTGCAGCCGCCTCCCCAAAAGTGCTGTACTTCTTGGCATTCCAGTGAACCAGATGTAGCTGGAGAGGCAAAAACAAGCCAAGTCAGGCCAGGACTGAGCACTTCCAGAAGCAATAGGCACATGAAATCAGTCTCCCCTTGCTCCCTCTGGAAGAGATGGGGCTGCAAGCCCCCTAATCCCAGGATCCCAGGAAGCCCCTAGAGAACAACAGGTAGCATCCATCCCATTTCGGGGCCCTTCCTAAAACTCTGGGATGTGTTCAGGGATGTGGAGATCATGCAGACGAGGAGGGGGTCTCTCCCAAAGGCCCTGGGTACACTTCCACATGTTCTCCAGAGCCCTTGCCCCAGGCATCCTTGAGCCCCACACTGTCCCATACACCCCTCTTTCCCAGGCAGCAGAGGGATGCAGCAAAGATCGCACCTCACTGGGGAAGGACTTGCCGTCCACCGTGTGCTCTGAGCCCACGTCGTGCTTCTTGCCCCAGTGGAAGTGGAGCTGCTTGAGACGATAGGGCCCTTCCAGGGGGCCCCCAGTCACCACTGTGGGTAGAAGTGAGATGTGGCAGTCCACATGGCACAGTACTCGACTTGGTAGGTGGCAGTCCCAGGCAGTCCAGGTAGGGACTACATGTGCATGCGAGATGTTGGGGATTGAACCTAGGGTCTCAAATATGCTAGGCAAGCAATTTACCACTGAACTATTATCTCTGACCCTTTTTGGACTTTTGGTATTTTGAGGTAGGGTCTTGCTAATTTTCTAGGCTCAGTTTGAACTTATCCTCCTGCACCAGCTTCCAGAGTGGTGAAGATTATAGGCCTATACTACCAAGTCTGGTTAAGGGCTATACTTTTCATGTGGAAACCACCAGTGTATATAGTCTGATCCCCCTCCCCTCCACCAGTCTGGATCAAGGCAGAAGGTGTGATAGCCTTCTAGATAGCTGTTCTGATAAAGGAGGGCTTTGCATTGGTCCCTCCTTCCAATTCCTGCCAGGTTTCCTGAAGACTGGTCTACCTCTTAGTCTAATAATAGGCCTCCCATGTCTGGGGTCCAGACCCAAGGCTGAGTTGGAACAATTATTTTGTCTGTTATCTTAGTAGCTCAAAAGAGACAGAACTTATTTTTGAACCAATTTATCTTACTTTATTATTTATTTATTTATTGCTTTTTTTTGAGACAAGGTCTCACTATGTATCTCTGGCTGGCCTGTAACTCACTATGGAGATTAGGCTGGTCTTGAACTCACAGAGATCTGCTTGCCTCTTCTTCTGAGTACTGAGTAAAGGAGTATGGCTCCTTGCCTGGCTTATTTTATAAAGGAGGAAATGGGTCAAGGTTATAAAACGAGGTGCTGAGCTACAGTGCAAACCTATTTCTTCTGTGTTTCAAACTGTTAATCACCAGATAGGCCACATTGCTTCCCAACAACCTGGACCCTTGCCTTGCCTTGGAATAGGAGAGTCCCTACCCTCCCAGATAATCTCAGGGCCTCCCAGGGCCACCCCCTGTATAAAGGGCATCTTTAGAGGCTCCAGCCATGCTGGTTTTGTGACTCTCTCACCTTGATAGCAGATGATCTAGGGCTACACATAAGGCCTCTTGAGACTGATAGAATTTCCAGATGAAAGGGATCTGTTGGTGGAGAGGCCCTAACTAGGCTTGAATGTGAGCTCCTAGATCAAGTGACAGCTCTAAGCTCAGAGTTCTACCAGGCCCCTTCATGACGGATGATCAGGACAAAACCAGAGGCCTGTCTCTGCTGCCCTGCCTTATGTCAGAAACGGGATCTAGGGGTCATAATACTGGTTGACAAAAAGAGTCAGGGCTTGGTGGCTCATCACAGAATCCTAGGCTGTTCTATGGGAGACTTCTGGGTCCATCTGTAGTGTTCCTCTCCTAGAACCCTACAGGATGGTATCAGAGGGGCATCTCCCTTCCTGCTTTATCTGGTTGCAGATGTTCACTGTTCACTGTGACTGTTCAGTGGTGCTCTGTGGTTATCAGCCCACTTGACCTCCAAAGTAACCTACAATGGATGGTGCCAGAGTCCCATCTGTCTTCCTCTTTCCACTGAGTCCCTGGCTCCTCAGGCCTGGCAGGGAAGTGGAGCCCCAGCTGGGCCTCTCATGTGAACCCTCAGACCAAACACAAATACTCAGTAAAGACTGTTGCCTAAGGCCTCTACCTAGGAATCTATCTTTGAAGCCTGGACTCTGATCCTAAGGCAAAGAGGCATGTTTGAGTGGAAGCTTTGAAGGCTGTTTGAAGGGACAGCCATGAAAACTGCTCCTCCATAAACTATCATCCAGGGTTGTCTAGGGTCCCATGTTGCCTTTCCAAGGATCTGGATAAAAGATTTTTCTTAGGTTTCAAAACAAGGTAATATACTGTCTCTCTTTTCTAAGGCTCTGCTAGGCTTAGTTCTGCAGGAAAAACTGTAGCTAGCTAAGTCTCTTCCTTTTTTTTCTTTTAAAACTACCCTCCCAAAGATCTTAGAGCTAAGCAACTAATACATATACTATAAACAGCAGGGCTTTCTTTTCTCTTGATTTTCTGTTTGGCAGATAAGTTTTCTTGAGTGCTTTCATTGAGTATGGGGTGGGGAGAAGTAAAATAAACAACTTTTTTTTTTTAACATAAAAAACCCTAACAGGTTCTCTTCTCACCACTCTCCCTTACAGACCTTGTGATGAGAACAAAATTCCTTCACTACAGAATATTCCTAAGGCCTGCCAGGGAATTTATCTTGGAAACCTGTACTTTGGTCCTAAGGCAGAGGCCTGGGAAGGCACTGCCACAATTTCCTGCAGGCCTCACTCTTGTCCATGGTGGTAAGGCCCTTAAAGGTCATGGATGAGTCGGAGAGGCCTATGAAGCTGGAGCAGGTGTGCTCTGGCCTACAAACTACTTCATACACTGTCATCTAGACGCCATATCCTGTGTCTGGGGCTGCTGGTGAAGGGGTCAGTATGAAGGGGTGTCTTGCCTTCTGTTCCTGGGGGTCTCCTAGACTGTCTTCCTTCTGCAGCAAGAACAAAAGCTTGCTGGGCATTTGATAACCCATATGATGGGAGGGTGGTTGTTTTAGAGTGGGTCACTAGCCCAGGCTGGCCTTGAACTTCTATTCTCCTGCCTCCAGTTCCAGAGTTCTGGGATTACAAGTATGTACTGCTGAATCTGGGTTTTATGAGAGGCAGGGGCTCAAACCCAGGGCCTTGTGCATTCTAAGCAAGCACTGTACCAACTGAGCTGTATCCCCAGCCCTCGAAGTGTTGAGCTAAGGCCTTGTGCATGCTGGGTAAGTGTTTTAGCACTGAGCCTCAGCTATGGCACTGGATTCTTGGGAAGACTAAATAATGAGAGGCTGCCTGAATTCATTTTCTTCCTTCCTTCTTTCTTTTTTTCTTCTTTTCTTGTGTTTGTTTGTTTGAGATGGGGTTCCTCTGTGTAGCCCTCATTGTCCTGAAACTTGCTCTGTTGTGGACCAAGTTGGCCTCAGACTCAGAGATCTGCCTTCCTCTGTCTCCCAAGGGCTGGGATTAAAGGTATCCACCACCACCGCCCTGTCTGGGACTGCCTGAGTTCTAGCATGTAGCCTGGCACACAGAACACCTCAGTCCCCTCCTTTTCCTTTGGGGGGCCTGGATTGATCACAGGGAAGAGGGCTTGGCCCTAGGCCTCAAGTAGGTCAATGAGAAGCTAGGAGTAAAAGTAAACACAATTTGAAGCTCTGAGAGGAAGGGGAGGAAAGGAGTTAGCATTTCTTGAGCATCTGTTTTATGCGGGACTACAAACATCACATCAGTTTCTTTTTCACTGCCCCTCTATGACCCTAGAGAATATTATCACTCCACTTTATACAATGAAAGACTAAAACTGAGCTCTGGGATTCACCACAGCTGGTGAGAGGTAGAGTTTCCCTTCCCTATCACAGCAAGCTGCCCCTCATAAGATTGTCCCACCCATGGTGAGGGCATGAAGGGGATTAGTGCCAGGTTTTGGCGGAGGCCACTTACCAGTTCTGTCATCACTGTCATTGAAGTCCACTTGGACAGAATGGCCATTGTTGGTGATGCTGAGGGACATGCAGGCTTCATAGAAAAGCTCCAGTGGCTGCAGACTGGGTGAATATACAGCCTGGCTGGATATGATATTGATGGGTGATTGGCGATCTCCCTGGGCAATGGGATACAACTTGTGCCAGTTTGAAGGGCCTATAGGTAGGGAAGGATCAAGGGCTCAGGCCAGTCAAGCTGTGGGATGAGGGAAGTTCTGGAAGGGAAGGGGACAAAGCCTGAGTTCTAATCCCACCTCTGTCCACTTCTTGATTCATTTTCTGTTATCTTGTCTGGGAAATAGCCTCCAAACCTCTCCCATTCCTTTCACTAGCACTGATAGGAGCTTCGGGAAGCATTGTAGGGCAAGGGACATAACACAGCCATAGGTTCAGAGGTGGTTCCAGATAGTAAATCCACCTGTACCCCAGCTTGTCTCCTCATAAGCACAACTTTATGAGGTAGAAACCAGCATGATGCGCATGCTGTAGATGAGAAACTAAGGGTGAGTCATGCATGTTCACACATGTTCACATGCATGGGTAAAACACATGGTATGTGTATGGACTGCATCTTCCTGTCTTCCCCAAACATGTGCTGACAGGTCCATGCATATATATATATATATGAATATGCAGTGACCTGAGCTCACCTCAAGAAGGTCCAATCTCTCCCTGCCCACTGGCCCTGCTGATTGCATCCGACATACACACGTATGCACCCTCATACATAAACACCTCCTATTGGAATCCCAATGAAGGGATCGCATACCCATGCATGAATACACCCAAGAGTGTGCGTGCACACACACACACACGTACACACACACACACACACACACACCTGCATGCACACCCACAGGCACCCACCACCTGCCTCCCAGAGGCTGCATCTGCAGTGGGGAGGCTCAGCATCTCCCTAGGGAACATCCTGAGATACAGCCTATTTTTAGAGCTACTGCCGGCTGGCGCTTCTCCCCCTTTTTGGCTTCTTAAGTTTTCCCGAGAAAACAGCAGCAGGTGCCTGCCGACAGAGCTGTGTCCCCAATGGATGACTCAGAATGGTGGCCCAGCCCTACTGGGTTATTTTTGAAGCCCTGTGAGCACTGCCGCATTTAGGCACCTCTGTCCTCTGTCCTTCCCTCCTCTAAGCTAGACTGCCCAGGTCTGACTGGGTGAGGGTTAGGTACAAACTGTTCAGGATGCTCGAGGTACAGAGCTAGAGGACAGGGCTAACAGGAATGTTAGGGATAGGGTACTGGGACTACGGGGGCGGGTGAGGGGGAGGAAGGGCACTTAAAAGCAGATCCAGTGCATGCAGGGGGTAAGATGGTCTTTTATCAACCTGGCTTTTCTCTGCCTCTCTCTCCATCTCTGCCTGTCTCTGTCACCCTCTTTTACCCTGAATGTTTCTGTCCAGTCCAATATGTCCAAATCTGAGGTTACCCTACCAAGACATGATCCTTTGTTTTGGGGGGGTTCCAGAGAGGACAACACCGCAACATCTCTGGTCAGTTTCCTAATCCTGATAATAGTCCAGGGCGTTTGCTCTCTGTCACAAAATGACTATTCCTGGAAAAAGTGGGGCCAGAGGAACAGTACCCGGTCCAGCACTTGCATCCCCCTCCACTTGCCCGGCCTGGGTTCCCCTCCTGACAGCCACAATCCTGAGTGATTGACCTTTTCTAGGAAATGGGGAAGCCTTTGCTTGCCCCACACCCTATCTCATCTAGGTAAGAAACACACCCAAAGGGAGCTGACCTGTCCCACACTCAAGTTGCCTGACTCACTGGCTTCGTCCATGTTCCCTCTGCATGAAGAGGAAACTGAGGCAGAATGGAGAAGCGGTTCTCCTGGCCAAACCCAGTACCCATAGCCCCACTCACTTAGGACGCGCTGAAACACTCTACCGGGTGTAGACACCCAGACATTCGCGTGTGTCCCCAAGTGCCCTCCCTCTTTCCTCGCGTACCAGCCTGCACCGCAACTCGGACACTCCAGCGGAAACTCTCGTGGGGACACCGAACCCGCTTCTCGGGAGGTCCCTGCATACCCGCTGTGCGCACTCCCCGCAATGACACCCGCGCGTGGCGCTGCGACGCGGCCACCCCCCTCCTCCGCCCCCGTAGTCCTGAGCCACCTGCAAGCGCTGTGCACGCTGGTGGAGAGAGAGTGTGGGGCCGGGTGGGAGCCAGCGCTGCAGTCCCGCGCTGCGCGGAGGCGGCGGCAGGGCGCGCTCAGCAGCCCAGTGGTTCCCTGGAGGGCCCGGGGCACAGCGCGGACTTTGCGCCCGGATCAGAGAATGCAAAGCAGGGGTCGGGTTCTGGGGACTGCACGAGAGAGAAAGGTCCGGGTGGGTTCTGGAGCGTGGGTCTTGAGGGTTCCGAAAACCTGGTCGGAAGCGTGGGTCGCAGCGAGCCCAGCTGGGTGAGAACCAGGGGTCTGCGCCTACCGTCGTCTTGGCCGTAGCCCCAACAGTGGTGGCCGGTCATGCCGCTGCTGTCCCCGCGGCGGTGTACCTGACGGATCTGCTCTGTCCGCTCGCTCCGTCTGCGGCTCCGGCCCTGCTTGCTGCGGTGGAGCAGCCTCTTAAAGTGGTGGCAGGCGGGAGGAGCGGTTCCCCAGGGGCCCGCCCCCCACCCCCCAACAGTGCAGGAGAGGCTGGTCCTGCCCTGCCCCCACGGGCCTGCAGGCCGGTGAAGTCCCAAGTCGAGGTAGGAGGTCAATAAGAGATAAGCCTATTCCTCATCTCTTATCGGCTGAGTCCCCATCACCCTCTTTCCTTTCTGCCAGCACGTGTATGAACTCTGGGAAACGAGATTACCATCCACGTTGTGGACTACTGGACTTCCCATTGCATGCCCCCCCCCCTGGCTTGTTGTCCCTGAGCAGCCAGTGCCATCATTGAGGACCTGTGTTTTGGGCCCCCCAAGTCCCCTGAGGTGGAAAAGAAGGTTTCAGTGACCAGCAAGTGTCTAGAACTGAAGGCTAGCCTGTCTTCCAGAAACTATGGTGGGGGCTGGGTCAAGCTTTTAGGTCCTTCCTGTGATATACCCACCTCCACAAGCCACGGTGTTTACCCTGCAGCTCTGTAACAGGGTAGGGGGCTGAGGTAGGGAAAGGTGGGATGACTCGCCCAAGGTCATCTAGCTAAAGCACCAGGGATCTATTCCCTGTTTGTCTCATTTCAGATGCTATGAGGACTTGGGAATCCTGTGGCTACGAAGGTCTGGGCATCTTGGAGTAGATGTGAGGGATAGGCATAGGATTGGCCATCTCCAAACCCTTGGCCCAAGTGCAATTAGAGCCCTGGAGTAGAAGTAGGAAGGAGTGGCATCAGCCATTGGGCTGGGAGGATGCTAGCTCGGCCCAGTGAAGACATTATAGTGGAATCAAGTGTGAGGTCCTGCTTCCCAGCCTCCCTCTTACTCTCTGTAGCCTCCCTCCTACTGGGACTTTCTGCTTATCACTCTAAATCCTGCTGTTTGTGCCTCCTCTCTTTGCCTCTCCATAGCCATCAATGCACCCGCTGGGACATTTAGGCCTCCCCTTTGTTGTCAAGGAACCTGCATACCTGCCTTGGCCCAACATTTCCCCATCCACCAGCCCTGGTCCTTACTGTATCCTCTTCCTGGGATGTCTTCTATCTTCCACCCACTAGCTCCAGTAGGTCCAAACTGATTCATCTTTTCATGTGGCCTTGTGCCAAAGATAGGGCTTGTTTCTGGCTAGGCCTCAGCAGGCAGTTTGTGAAAGATAAATAGATGGGTGAATGGAAGGATGGACAAATAGTCATACCCAGGACCTTATGCCCAAGAATAGCTGACGAACCACTGGTAGAATCTCTCTGCTGGTCAGATGTTGATCAG